CTATACAGCTACATCATGAAACCATGCCGTTAATAGGGTTGTGATTCGACTCGAAAACGAACCCAAGCTCAGTCCAGAAGGCACTGAAATATCTCACTGTTGAATGGCAAGGAGTCAAAAAACGGGTATGACGCTTTTCGAACGATGCAACGAGAACACATCCAGGTGAGTCAGCGCATCGTCTTGGAGCACCAGAAAGACCCACTTCGATGAGCTACCTGCACCTAGCGGGGTCTCAATCAGGGCTAAGCCCCGTGGAAGCAACGCAGCGGATAGGCGCTATCCGCCCGGGAGACACATGATCGATTCATTGCTCGTCTTGGTATTTGGTGGCGCCCCAAGCCGCTGTACGCAAAGCATGCTACGATCATCCGTAAATTCCCTGTTCTTCCTTCTATGCCTCCGGGAGAGACACCGGGGCGATTACCCGTCTTCGAGGAGCTCATCTTAACGGGAGTCACATGTACCACATGCGTGCACGGTGCGTGATACGCGTGCGGAATGCTGTCACGCAACACCGATCGAGGTTTGTTGCGGGCGTCGGGCACGCAAGTGACTTTTTCCCTCATTCCTGTCACGGATGGTACTTGAATTGAATGACATAACTCTTCAGTGGTGATCATGTCATTCGTCTGAGAATCCCCAAGCCTGTTCGAAATATAACTGTATAGCATGTGAGCAACCTAGGGAGCGAGGGAAATACGATAATTGTGCGCTTGCACGTTTCCAAGAGTGAGCGCCAAGGGATTGCGCCTCCCCTTGGACTAGGTATGCTTTGAAACGTCACTTACTAAGTAGAGCAGCGCTTGGATGAGCCAGTAGACTATCACCAGAGTGAATCCTTCTAGCTAGCGTATAGATGAGGTGTTCCTTCCTCTGCCCACAGTCATCCGCACAGATTGTGTTCAAGCATCGCAGCAGATTAAACGCAGTCTCCCTTGCAGAGTTCGATATTGATGGTGTCAGAACCATCTATGGTTGGCCATACCGACCCGTCCAGTTTCTTGAGCCCGAGTCCGTCGGGAACTTCCAAAGGATCCGAGGTTGATTCTGCTCCATCCCGGCCTCCGTTCCTCTCTGGAACTCGTGAACCCGAGCCTTGCTCGCCATGCACATTATGTGGTGGTGAAGTGATAGCTCCAACGAGAGTGAGTCGGGCATCCGAATCCTCTGATTGGTATCTCCCTCGATTGTCTGAGCCATCACAATAGACCCGTCTAGAATCTACGGCTGAGTTCGGCTCCGGAATGGTGCTAGCCTTTGGAAGGTGATAACATCTACTTTCAGCGGCGTCGAACCTTGGCTGTGATCGGAGAGAAGAAGCGTAGACGGACTGATGGCACCAACCTTCTCGATGCTCTTGTATCGAATGCTCGAGCAACTTCTAACACAGCTGGAAGCTCAGGAGGATGTAGGTTCGGGACCAGGCATGTGCCTCTCCCACACGAATGCCTTCTGTGTGCGTCTCGTCACCGTTGCGCGTTGTCTCGGGTGCGAAGTTATGCTTCTGGTATTTCAGACTCGACTTCTTCTGACCCCGAAAAAATCCGGCCAGGGGAGAAGCCCAGCGAGGGAGCTCGTTGCTTCGTCTGCGAGCGGGTTTATCATACCGATTGTGCAGATCTGCGGCCTACCGGCCTGGATACACGAGAAGCGCTCGGAATACGAGGTCGTCCTCGAGCCATTCGACTCCCCTCTGAACCTTGGTGGAGTTGTAGGTATATTCTACTCGTGCGGTAGATGTCGGAAGAAAAGACAGGAAGCATACCGACTCGCGACGACTGGCAACAAGAGCGTTCCCGTTGGTCCGGAATATCAAGCGCCCGAGATTCCCAAGCTCTGGTGTCAATCGTTCGGAGGGTGGAAGCGTGGGCATCCAGTCGAGCAGTCGAAATGCGTGAGTATCCGTTCTGGTCGCTTTGTGTATGGGTGTATTGAAAGACTTAGGTTTGGAACCCGAAGCTGGCTGAGGCGAACGGCCTCACAACAGATGACATCGACGAGTTCCTGGAGAAGGCCGAGGACGTGTGGCCCACACAAGCCTTTGTTCACATCGAGAGAGGAGCGCGGCGTGGCAGCAACGTCGAGGAAGAGATAGATAATGGCTCGAGGCGTTCAAGGTGAGGCGACGGGATCCACTCGGTGGGCGTCGGATGGAGCGTCCGTTCCGAACGGACCGTTCGTTTTCAGTCGTCTTCACAATCCTCTGGATTTCCCAATGGATTACCGAGCGCCGTTCTCGGTTGATGCGGCATTAGGCGTGTTACACTTAGCGCAGTAAGTCGAATATGGCTAATGGTGAAAAAAAGATGAGGCGCTTTCAGATATAACTGTGACAAAGCACTACAGCTACTGGGGTGCCCTGAGTTCTACACGCCGCCAGGTAACGAAGACGATAGAGCGCAGCGGCAAAGCATCATGACGGTCAAATTGAGCCTGCCGACCAAGCCGTACAACAACAAGTGGCGACCCAAGGATAGGCGGGGACGAATTTCATCGGTAAGGTCGTTTGAAACGGTGGTTACTCGGGCCACATTCCTTTGCCTTCGAGAGGACGTTACTGTGGGGACGCGAGTGTAACTGTGGAAGGTGATTGTGGAATGCATCATATTCAGACACCGCATCCCCAGAGAACACGGCGCTTGTTGCCACCACTTTCACCGCAGTTATCAGCAGTGAAGAACGGCGTTCGAAATGATCATAGCAATTTCTTCATCGGTAACACACTCTTATAGTATCCACTGTTCATCGTGTACTTCTTCGTAGCCTTTCTCCATTTACCATTATTTGTTCATTTCTGAGGTGTTGTGTGGTGCAGTACGGTTCGTCGAATCCGAAAGCGGAACCCGATGGAGAACGAAATAAGATTACTCGTCGAGTAGTACTCGAAGCTACACATGGTGTACTTGGCAAAGTGACATTCGCGTGCCACTTGACGATTCATTATTCACGCTGAAGGCTTTGGCCCTGTACGGTTTCATAATGAAACTTTCATTCACGGGCAGACCAGTTTTGAGTACGGTGAAACGAGTACTGTGTGTCAAGGTACGTGCAGAATGCACCTTAGGCTTGATGACGATGTGGTAGTTATTCGTTTTTAACGAAGTGAAGCTGGACTGGTGAGGCAGATCCTATCGTTCCACTTTGGTTGCTTGTGCAACCTTCGTGCCCTTGTGCATGCGTGTTAACCAATCATGTGTCTCCTGGAACGGCGCACGTTCCGTGCCGTAGGGCTAAGCGGCGTTCATAACCTTTCCGCTTCAACGCCAATTCACCGCGTTCCGAATACAATGCTTTTCCCCAGGGGAAATTCCCCTACACCGCACTTCACAGAACAGAACTCAACTACACATCATGTAATAGCTAGTTGCCCCAAACCACAAACCCGGAAATGTGCAGACTAGAGCTGTAGTAGTATTTGGCTCCCTGCTGTGTTGACCACCTGATCCCCAAATGCTGATCCGTCTAGCAGTAGAGTGGGATACTGAATCCCGATCTCCAAACCTCAGCAGTAGCTGCGATCAGATAGACAGATCAACATGACCAGTTAGTAAGCCAAGATACAACACGGCAACTTTGAAATACTGGTACTACGGCGTAATCCCCAAAACTCCCCAATACGTACATAACCGGTCACTCATGGGCCACGTCCACAACTACTGACTCAAACCACGAATTAGGTTTCGCATACCCAGACCTCACCGAGCCCGTCGACACTGTCGACTCGACAGCGAGTGAAGATTACTTCTCACCCCGAAATCGTTCATTTCTTCACCAATATCTGGCAGCAACTCTCTCCACGAGGCTGTGCCAGCAGTTCTGATGCTCTGGGTAGGAAGCTCCTCAGGAAGCTCCTGCTATGAACCACGCCCCAATAACGTACACACACGTCCTACACTGAGCCGCCGAGATCTCTTATACCCAGTTCCACCAAATCACTCAACTGGCTCATCAACGGAGTCATTCCTCTTAGGGGGCCGATATCTCGTCTACTTGCTCGTTCAACCCACTTCATAGACTCCGCCAATAGTGCCATCACCTCATTATCGGTCTCCGCACAGAAGCTTGCTGAAGCTATCCGGACATTGCATACCACACTGCGGAATCCAGAATTCCGCAAATACAACGTGCTCAGGATACGTGATAGCCTATCACTGATAAGAGATAACCATCAAATACCTAGTGCTTAGGAGGGGACTAAATCCCAAGTTGGGATTCCCAAGCCATAGGCTAATTGTGCTCAGAGCATAAAGCACGACCGCAGCGCTTGAGAAGTAGATAGGGTGAACTCCGCGTCGCTGAACCTTCAGCTTGATCTCGACCAGGGCGGGGCATAGACACCGACTCTAAACCCATTTTCCCCCAATCATTGGGGCCCGATGCATCTCTATCACTCCACGATCTCATAACGTACGGCGAGTAACATCTCAATATGTAATTCCCTTTCATCAACTCAGCTCTCCATTTCAAAAAGGAGAGCGAATGCTTGAGGGACCAACTGAAACGAATCATCTCGTTTCTCACATATCATCCGTGACTCACGGACCGTGACACCCTATTGAAGCAAACAGGGACCGGTTAACCCGTCGGTAACCTTGGAAAAATGTGTGCTATCTGGTTGTCATCAACCGACACATGAACAAACTCTATTTGGTACCATCTGCCAGTAACCTCATCGTGTAAGGCCAACTGCTGAGCAATACCCTTCAGGCTTTTTCAGGAACCTCGACCGCAAACGGAATGCTGCTAGAAGCGCCACGACAGGGTCAGACTGACATGTAATCATCGCACTCGCAGGAATCCGACTTGACCAAATCCGAATAGCTACCAAAAAAAGATAAGAGTTCCCAAACTGACTGCCACCGACAGTCACCTATAAAAGCACCAATTTTGCAACACTCATATTCATCCGGAGGGTCAGAGTCTCTGACTCAGAGAATCATGATATAATCCCTTCTCCTCTTTTGAAGAGCCCTCCCAGACCAGTTGGGCTCACATCAACCAATATAGACCATTTAATTCCTTGCAATTTATCAATGGGGGATGTGGTTTGATGGATGATCGATAGTGGGGCCCACTAAGTGGGCCTCACGCACAGAGTGTGCGTCACAGTGTGATTGCGTGCAATCACACTAGGGACCGTACTTCTCATGGTGGTGGTCTCCTAGCCTGGGGCAAGTCAGTCCTAAATGTTACTGAAGTCGACTGTGGTTCTACGGCGGAATGTTGCTGGGTGCTCGTGGCAACTGCCATCGGTAACATCTGGCAGATGCAGTGCATCCTATGCGCCTATCGTCCTCCTAACACTACTCATGTCGAACACTGTCTTAGGGGATCCTTTCATAAGATCACGGCTTTTAAACCTATTTGCGTGCTGGCCGTTGGTGACTTCAACAAGCATGGATAGCCTCTTTTCGACTACTCGGAGTCTGGGTCTTTCGCGAATCGTATCGACTCATATAGACGGTGGTACTCTTGATATGGTCTTCACCAACTCTGATACCCACTGTATTAAGGCCAAAGCTGATCCTATTGAGGCTCGTATCTCGGACCACTTGTGTGTTGTCACCACTATTCCCATCACACTGACGACGGACTCATCTCGGACCACGCGACCTGGCTGGGACTTCAGGGTAGCTGATTGGCCTAGGTTCCGTACCTATGCTTGCTGTAAGTTGAGGAGAAATCTTTTCTCAAATGGTTCTCCCGATAATGCTGTTGAGCATCTGCAAGCAGTACTCCGCGCTGGTTTACGCAACTTCGCCAAAGAGGTTCACATACCTACCTACCAAAACTCGGTGCCATGGTGGGACGAAACCTGTACAAGTGTTTTTGCCTCTCTGCTGAGAGCCTCTTCTACCGATTCTCGAGATTCGGCTTTTCAGCTCAAAGAAGCTAAGCGGTCTGCCTACTGTGACTCTGTTCGCTCTAAGCTCGTTGGTGGTCGACTTTCGTGTAAACAGTTCCATCGTCTCGCTAAAGAACTCGCGCTGAGCACCAAAGCTAAGTCTTGCGCTATTCCCCCTTTGGAACTGAGCCCTAGTGTGCTCACAACTGCGCTGGCGGAGCACTTCGAATCCAAGATGATACCCTCCCCGTGTCCGACCCCTTCAAACTTGGTGATACTATCACCCTATCAGGGTTGCTGACGCACAATTTATCACAATCTTACGTGTTGACCCTTGTGACGTCAGGAGTGTTTTTGGCGATGGCGCTGACGTTGGAGATGGCGGGCCGCCATTGACGGCTGCAAGGGGCTGGAAGATCAGCCCATGCTCGACCTCTGCCAAGCTCGCCAACGGCGCAGTAGTCAAGCTCAGTGGCACTACCGAGGTCACAGTGCACCATGATGGTCGAGACTATGAGTTACAATTCTTTGTTCTCCCTGCAAGCGGTGCCTCCACGGGCGTGGACGCCTCCACGTGCATCCTTGATGTCCGGTCCATGTGCGCATTGAAGGTCTCTCTGTGTTTCGCCGAGGTATCGGGTTCACGCCAGGTCATCGTTCGTACTCCTGTCAAACCCTCGGGTTATTCTTCGTCCCCCGACCTCGCACAGGGTGGCTATCTGAAGTACGTGGCGCTCGCAGAGGAAGACCTCCCCATCACCGACGGTGATCCACCGTTGTTTAGGAGCGCGAGCACGTGGTTTACCGCTGCGAACGAGGCACTGATGAGCTCCTGACTGTGGGTGGACCCGCTCAGGCGAGCGCGTGCGCCGGACGCGCGGCGAAGTTGGGGGAGCAATGGCGTCAGGTCAAGGCTGCCCCGGAATACTCGATCCGTCTGCGACCCCTTGCTGACAGCGAGGCCAAGGATTGCCCTGTTCAGAGTCATACTGTCAAGGTCCGATGGTTATCGTCGCCGCTGGTACGGCAGGGGCCCGTACATGACTACTCTCGAAACCTTTTCACACGTCTGACTCAGACGGTCTGAGTCTCTCTCAACAAGAATCCTATCTGGGGGAACTCGAACGCTTCTAAGAACGCGGTTGGTGGCAACCCCTCTCTATCGAGTAAAACGGCGAATAGTCCTGCCTGCCCGAAGCTATCACCTTTCCGGTGGTACAAGGCCAAAAAGTTTGTGTCGACCTACGACGTGGTATCGCAACGGCTCCGCCGAGTTCATATCCAGGAGCCAATTAAAGTGCCCACTTTTCCAAGTCCAAGTGGAGGGAAAGAAGTCCTTTCCAAACTTGGAGAAAAAACGTCTATTAAAGTGAAGCAATGTCCAAGGGGATATCTCCAAGTACTTGGATCCACGCGCAGAGTCCTGTTTCCAATCCAAGTGAACACTTCCACGCGAGCGCGGATTAAAGTGCGCGATTTCCATGTTCCGGAGGAGGGTCATTTTTCCACCAGTCGCGCGACTCCGAAGCGCAGCCCGTTTTTTCCAAGTGCACTAATAACTCGATAAACTACGAGAATATTGAACAAAAACGATCCTTCATCAACATGACCTTTACCAACATGTTACTTATAACAAACTCACCTCATTCCCTACCCTCAGTGCTCTCGTCAATCCTCTGATGATGGCCTAAGTCGGCAAGGAACTTAGCGCAAGACAGGTCGTACAATCTAGTTTGCTTGGTATGCTCAATTCTTGCGGCCTTGCGGCCTTAGTAAGTAGTTAAATGTTATTAGTCGACTCGACTAAGTCGAGTATGAGTACATTGTGTGAGTTTCGGGCATGCCGCACGCAGCGTGCGAGCGGTTGCGTTTTCCAAGCACCGAACTTTTTCCAAGCTGTGGTTCATTTTCCACATTGCTACTTTAAATTAAAGTCTTTAATTCGATGAACCTCGCCCGGGAAAACGTCTTGGAAAATTTGCCCAGAAAGTCGACCTTTCCAAGTAGCATCACTTTAATGGAGCGTGGATGGGAAAACCGACCCTTGGATGTGGAACCTGGATTTGTCGCCGTGGACTTGGAACCCGGAAAGGCTTAGCACTTTAATTGGCTCCAGGAGACTCATACGCAACCATCCTCGCGCAGGTGCGCGTTGCTCTAGCTGCTATTTCGTTCCGAGCGCGCGCGGAGCAGCTACCTCTTCTCCGTCGCCTCAGTTTTTAGTAAAAATTGAAAAACCGTGAAAACTGTTTGCACTCTCGACGCGGCCACCGCTTTCTGTGAGACTGTACGATCATATAGCGGTCATAAGGTCTCTCGGCCGTCACTTCGGGGCACGCCGACTAGTTTTCGGCCTACGCTGCGGGCCGGCTGTTCTCCGCGAAGCCCTTTCTTGCCTGATTGAAGCCGCGTTGTCAGCATGCGGGTCCAGTGAAGGTGACCTTTCACTGTTTCACTGGGAGTATGTGGACGATATGTGCCTCCTGGGTGACCCTGTGGCGGTCCGCAACCTTCAAGAGCAGATCGTTCGTCTGGGAGGACAATGGTGTTTCGAGTTCCCTGCCAAGAAATCTCACTCGTTGGACTTCTCGGCTACGGGAGAGGTCGAGGAGCTTGCGGATTTCAAGCACCTTGGGGTTAGCTTCAGGCTACTGCCCTGAGGCCAGGGATCACTGGTGCTGCGTTGCATCACTTCTTCGGACCCAGAGGTAACGGTCTTCAAAGAGAACCAAAAGGTCACCAAAAGGTCTCTCTTTCGCGCCGCCGGTGCGGCCTATGATCCACTGACTCTCCACGTCGACCGGTGCCTTGCTGCCGATTACGTGAGACGCATCTCTGGTCGATGGAAAGCTGGGTGGGACTAGGAGGTCCCGCTAAATGCTGATGAAGCGAAGACCCTTACCGCCTGTCTTCGTGTTCTGGGTGCTCCATCTTGTCCCTGTGATCATGAGACTTCTTTCGCGGCGACAATTCTGGAGGTCTCATGCGACTCGAGCCCCTTCGGCATGGGCTTCGTCGTCCATCTGGTGCATGATGATCTACACCGCACCCCTCTGGCACGAAGGGCGAGGTGCCTCCGAGGCTCCATGCTCAAATGGCACCAGAACCGGAAGGAGTTGTTCGGTCTGGCGGCCCATATTTTTGTTGATAGCCTGATCCCCGATTTCGGTGGCATCACACAGTGTGATTCACACCCCGCTTCCTCTCCGACTCTCCGACAGCCCTCTCCTGGCTCCGCGGTGGAGCCCGAGTCGGGCTGCCCGACCGAGTCGGGCCGAGTGACTTGCAAGCCCATCGAGCGCATTGCCATACCCCGTCTTTGTGATGCGATTGCGGATGTCCGCAAGGTTTGGAGAATGAAATACCATGTCGTACCAGCGTTGCTACACGTGGCAGCATCTCAAAACGCCAAGTCGGATGGACTCAGTCGGTTGACGTTTTCTTGGGGTATCCCTGAAAAATCATATTTGAAGGGCGAGGTATGGCCGGGGCTCGCCCGCCATTCGACCTGGCAGAGGACGCCACTGACCAAGAGCATGGAAAGCTATTAGGGCCTAATAATTAGGCTCAGCATCATCACCATCATCAAGCACCTCAGGTGAATCTACTGTCCTTGATCATCTAAGGGTCATCTGTTCGACGGGGGACGCCTCACAGGTTCCTCCCGATTTTCAACTCGGGCACGGTTCTCCGCCAAGAGAGAGGTTACATTCTTTACAATGGCTCTCCCCGACATCTGCCTCCGTCAGTGTGGTAAAATGTGCGCATGGTCAACCACATGTGTTGGTGACAATATGAAAACTCTGAGGAAAATTTGGAAAATCCTTGTTACTTTCTGTACACTAATCGTATATATTCTCCCAATTCATATATAAAATCCTATGATTAGCGAGGAAAATTTTGAGCCTAGCTGAGTCAAGCGAACATTTTTCGCAGCACTGGCCTCCGTTCTCAGGTTTCAACCCCTCCTGATGGACTCGGGGCGTGCCTTAATGGCACGCCCTTCATCACTTCTCCGACGTGGCCTTCCGACTCTCATCCTTTTCCCTGGCTGACGACGGCCCCCTTATGAAAAAGGTGAAGACCTCTAAGGTCAACGGCGTTGCTTCAACTCGCATTTGCTATTATGTCCCGACGGACACCTCTGAGGGGAGGCACTATGCGCATTCTCTGGTCGAGGTCTATCATAAGGAATCTGGCGGCCTGAATAGCCGTTATGTCCGTTGGTTGATATCGAGGTGTTTCTACATCCATAAGCTTTGCACTTATGTAGAATCTGTTTGTCGCGCATGTGAAGGCTGTCAGATGGGCTCCAAATTGGAGCCTCCAATCGTCGTTACTTCTCGACCGTGGATTCTGCCCGCTCTTCGCGCACTGCGGCGCGAGAGTGCTAGCACACCGTTTCTGCAGACCTCGCGGAGATGAGTTGGGACAAAAAGCGTCGCTACTCTGCGGTTCTTCTGATGACTTGCCATTACAGCGAATATTGCACTGCATCCCCTTTGAAGGATCAAAGAAGCCTCACAGTGGCCGGCGAAATGTCTCGCCTGTTTGATCTTCTAGGGTATCCCGTTCGCCTCCGGACGGACGGAGGGCCATGTTTCAAGGGTCGGCCTCTGGCTGAAATATTATCGTTCCGCTCGGTGAGTCACCGACGGTGACTCATCGAATCTCACCTCTGTATGCTGCCTTTTAGAATGGTCTGGCCGAAAGGGCGATTGCCAGCCTCAAATTTCTGGCCCGTCAGCTCGGTGATGAGAGAAGTTGGCCATCTACGCTAGGCCGAGTGCTGCATCGTCTCAATGGTAAACCTTTTCTCGACACTGGTCTGTCTCCTTTTGAGATTTTCTCCGGTCGTCCCCTCCGTCTCAGCCCTGAGAATGCTCTGGAGGAGGGCAAATTGGGTGCCAATGGTCACACTGTTCAGTCTCGCCAGGCTGTGCGTGATGAGATTGACCGCTTAGTTCAGACTGCACGCAGCAGCGTCTTGATGATGCTCGTGGGTTACGTCGCCGTGGCCCTCCTCCGGTCGGTACTGAGATCATCGTTTTTAACCTTGACACTCTGGGATGCGGAGGGAAATATGATCGCACGATCCACCCGGTGGATTCCACCGTGTCCTTGAGATTATTCGTGGCGTTGTCCTGAAGATGGTAGATACCAAGGTGCCAGAAGACCAAGTTATTCCCAGCATGATTAAGGAAACTCACTACGCTAATGTTCGTCCTTACTATCGCCCATTCGGGGGGCATGTGGTTTGATGGATGGTCGATGGTGGCCTCACGGCGTGAGGCTCACGCACAGGGTGTGCGTCACAGTGTGATTGCGTGCAACCATGTGTCAGCGTGTTTTTGCTCGGGCCGAGCAATGGCCAGTCTTTTATTCGTACAACCCAAGTCTGAGTCGTAGTAGACCCCATCCCATAAGATTTATGTCCAAGTAGTTAGTTATAGACCTTGAGACTTAATGGTATCTTCTATGAGTCGTGTTCACGAGGCGAAGCCCGGTCAAACTCTCACAGGAAAGTATCGCAACTACTCGTAATACAGTTACTGTGGGACAGTATTGTCGTCATGTGTCTCATCTTTGGCAGTCACCTAGCCCAGAAAGCACCAGGTCCATTCCAACGGGTATCCAGCTTGCCAATAGCGATCCAATATTGGTGTGATGCATCCGCCTTGGCTAAACTCCACCGTAACGGAGCACCAAATGCTCTAAGATAAGGTACAATTTAAGCTGCAAATGATAACCGACCACAAAAACTTCTCAGCCTCGTTGTGGATATGCAAACCTTCTCAACAAATAGGGAGCTCAACCATCTCCAGAATACCTTGGAGCTCCTCGAGCAGCAACGTTACCAACATACTCGCCTCGGACCGCAATAGTTCAACTATTATAGTTGGAACCCTACCTATCGGACAGGGAACAATACCTGTCTTTCGGAACAAAAAAACTTGATTTAAATCCACGTGCCAACCAAAGTAAGATTGGCAAACAGAGCCGTCTTCGAACTAACTTACTTGTAACGTCAACTAGCACACTATTACCATCATCAAAGCCGCGGTGACGTTCGTTGGTGGCCGCTAGGTGATTCACGACCGCTGAGCTGTGACTTGAGATTTTCAAAATTAGTCAATGTATGAACACCTACGATGAACCCAATCTTTCCTCCCAATTATCGTAGTAGTGTTAATGACACCTTCAACGCTTTTATTGAATCACCTCCTAAAGAACTGTCTATGTTTGGCTCTTTGATTGACACTGATGTGCGAGAAACGCGGCCTTTGAATCCTTCACCCTTATCAAGCATGATAAAAATAGGATGATAATTCTTGCCGGTTAGCTCCTTTGAAGATGGTGCTTTTGTCTCATATTGCACTGTTGTCATTTAGCAAGATGAGTAGCACTCTCTCCATAGTCATTTTCTCAAGTCGTGAATGCGTGTGATCTGTTGTAGAGGCTTTATCATTGAAGACTTGTGTTGATACGTCACGTATCATTAAGGCCCCATTAAGCCGATCACGTATCATACGGGACCCTAATGGGACGGTGAGTAGGCTCCCAAAATCGTCTGGAGTGCATGCTGAGAGAGGTCTCAAGTTCTATGTCGACCATTTGAGGATGCAGGTTGTCAGGTAAGTCTTGTCCCGACTCACGTGCGCGTCACATTCTTATCTACGGGTGCTCAAACCATGATGACTTCCCGCTGTACTCCTCGGCTAGCTTGCCTCCCAACACTGGCCCGGTCGCAGGTTCCCACCCAAAACTCTTCAACATGATTGCTCCCACTCTGCCGACTTCATCTGTAGCCATCGGACAGCCATCCTCACACAGCTGAGGATTGCACGTCAACATGCAGACAATCAGAAACAACCCGGTGGCAGGGGGTGAGCAAATTGAGTTCGGGTTTCGCAGTTGTTGTTGTTGTCACAACAACAACATCAAACGAAATACATAGGCTAGAGCATAGCTCAGAGTAACCACATTCGCGGGCGGGGGCCTCACGGACAAGTGTTCGCAGCACTCTATACTCCACAAGCTTCGTGTAGGGTAACATGCAACATGAATAGTCCCTTGTGTGGTGGAACGAGGTGTGGTTGGTGTATTAACCTAAGTTGGTTTAATGAAATGTTTATTTCTACGACAGGTCGCCCCTTCCCAGGAGAGACCCAACGAGGGCGCTCGAGCAACATCGTGTTCGTGCTGGATCCCGACGGCTACAGGATCGTGCTGAATTCAGCACGGCTTGTCATCTTGCAAGGGCATTTCTATCGAAAACTATAAGTGCTATTCCGTTGTATATCTCTTGCGTTTTACCATGGCTATTATTGATGTCTTTGAGTTCTTGAGTATTGTGCACGTGGGTACAATGAACGCTTGTAGTGGACTATACAGCTACATCATGAAACCATGCCG